ATATATTTTATGCTATTATAAGTGGTATTTTTGAATTTCAATTTCCAATTGCTTATTGCCAATAAAGTATATAGAAAAACAACTAATTCTTGTCTTTTGATGCAGTATCCTGGATCCTTGATAAGTATCTTTATTAGTCCTAGTAGCTTTTTGTATACACTCAAATTGAGATAACACTATATACCTAATAGTATGACTGTAATTAAGAAGACTGATATAAGACATTTTGGCAAAGATGTCGGGAAAGGGGCGGTGCCTGTGGCTCAAAGGAGTAGGGTGCTGGCCCCATCTACCAGAGGTGGTGGGTTCAAACCCGGTCCCAGCCAAAAACTGCAAAAAATAATAATAAATAAAATAAAATAAAATAAAATAAATAATGATGTCGGGGAAGAAGAATTTTGGCACACTCTTGGTAGGAATGTTAATATAACTACTTTGAAAAATACCTTGGCAATTTCTTTAAAAGTTTGATATACATGTCCCATATGATCCAGATATTCCAATTGTATGAAAAAGTATGTTTATATAAAGACCTGTAGGGCAGCGCCTGTGGCTCAAAGGTGTAGGGCGCGTCCCCATATGCCAGAAGTGGCGGGTTCAAACCCAGCCCCAGCCAAAAACTGCAAAAGACTTGTGCATGAATGTCCATAGCTACTTGTTTTATAATATCCAAAAAGTTGGAACAACCCAAAGGTCTAGTAAGAGGTGAATGAGGTCAGGGATGAAAGTGGTAATCCTACCACTTTCTCTGGGAAGCCAAGGCCGGAGGAAGGCCTGGGACCAGGAATTTGAGACTAGTCTGAGCAAGAATGAGCCCCTGTCTCTATAAATGATAGAAAAATTAGCCAAGTGTGGTGGCACGTGCCTATAGTCCCAACTACTGAGGAGGCAAAGGCTGGAGAATCACTTGAGCTCAGGAGTTTGAGGTTATAGTGGGCGACAATGATGTCAATATACTCTAGCCAAGGTGACAGAGCAAGTCTCTGTCTCAAAAAAAACTCCAAAACAAACAAACAAAAGAGGTAAATGAATAAATCAACTGTGATATATCAATTGAAAAGTAGTCAGTTCATCAGTGTTGATAACACACAACACTGATGAACCTCAAAATAATAAAGCTGGCTGACAAAGGCAGACCAAAACCATATGCAAGGTGTATAATCCCATTTACATAAAATTCTGTAAAGTAGAAACTAATGTATAGTGACAGAAAACAAATGAGTGAATGCCTAAGGAGGGATTAACAAGGAGCAAAAGGAAACTTTTGGGGGTGATAGTTATGTTCACTACCTTGATGTTAGTGATGCTTTCATGTCAAAATGTATTAAATTACACATTTTCTATATATGGAGTTTATTGTATGTCACCTACATCTCAATTTAAAATAAAGTAAAACATATCAGTATAACTGTCACTAAGAATCTAGAACAAACTTTATTTTTTAGGAGAGAGAATCTTGCTACGTTACTCAGGCTGGTCTAAACTTCTGGCCTCAAACTTCTGGCCTAAGCAATCCTCCACTTCCAGCTTCCAAAGTGCTGGAGTTACAGACATGAGCCACCACGCCAGACATATGTTTCAAATTGATATATAATTTTCATAACATAAACTTCTCTTTCAAAGTGCATAATTCAGAGGTTATTTTATTTATTTGTTTGTTTTTTGAGACAGACTCTCACTTTGTTGCCCTCAGTAGAATGCTGTGGCATCATAGCTCACAGCAATCTCAGACTCTTGGGGTCAAGTGATCCTCTTGCCTCAGCTTCCCAAGTAGCTGGGACTATAGGTGGCTGCTACAACATCTGAGTATTTCTACAGATGGGGTCTCACTCTTGCTCAGGCTGGTCTCAAACTCCTGAACTCAGGCAATCCACCCACCTCCACTTCCCAGAGTGTTGAGTTAACAGGCGTGAGCCACTGCACCTGGCCAATTCAGTGGTTTTTAGTATACTGTCAAAGTTGTGCAACAATCACAACTAATTCCAGAATATTTTCAATACCCACCCCAAAATGCGTGTACATTAGCATACAACAGAAAACAAATGAGTGAATGCCTCAGAAGGGATTAACAAGGGGCAAAACATACCCCCTCCTATGCATTAAGACTATGCTTAATTTCCATATGACAATGTATTTCATGTGGTCATCCTAATCCAAGCCTCAAAACCTTTCAATTTTAAGAAATTGCTATTGATTTCAAGAGTGTGTAACATATATTACAGTGCAACTCTTTATCATTTTATTCTCTAATGAGAACTAGAATCAAAATGATAATGACATTGATCATTTTAGAGATGCTTCAATCACAGAAAGGTCATTTATTGTACATGTGGTACTGACAGCCAATAATGCTTGTCCTTATTAGTCATTCTCCTTATCAGTTATCAAAGCCAGGACTGGTCAAGACTAAACTATGGTGAATAATAAGGAGATTATGCCTTTGCAAATATTAAATCACATATAATTTGCAAAGCTTTAAAAATATAAATTAATATAATTCACTTAGAGATAATTCCATTATGAAATATGCTTTCTCAATAACTTAACATTAAATGTTTACGAAAGCTTTAGATAAAGGTAACACCACATTGAAAGGATGATGGGTTTACACTCTGTACAGCACAAACTTAGAAAATAATGATCAGTATTTGTGCCTATTTTTCAAAAAGAAAAAGATATCACCATTTGTATTATAGCATCTGTTGATTCTAGGAGAAATGATAATCACAATCAAAATTTAACTATTTTTTAATATGAAGGAAAGTCAGTGATGATGAACATACATAATAAATCTTGGAATAATTTGTATCTGTTGATTCTATTATATTAGAGACTATTTTTGGTGTATAGAAATTAAATCTGATAGAGGAAAATATAATAGCTGATACTATGGTTTTTGCACTCCTATGTTTAGACCATATTGTGAAAATAACACTCAAGTATTACAAACTGCTTAAAATATATTAACTTTTTTTGGGTGGGGGGAGATAGTATCCTGCTCTCTTACCCAGGATAGAGTGTGTGGTATCATCATAGCTCACCACAGCCTCAAACTTGTGGGCTCAACGAACCTTCCTGCCTCCTCCTCTCAATCATCTGGGACTACAGGCACACTTTACTGGGTCCAGCTAATTTTATTTTTCTTTGTAGAGACAAGATCTTACTATGTTGCTCAGACTGATCTCAAACTCCTGGCCTTAAGCAATCTTCCAACCTTGGCCTCCCAAAGTGCTAGAATAACAGGTGTGAGCCACCATACACAGCCAAAAATTAACTTTTTATATGACATATTCCTAGACACTAAATCACAAATTAGATATATCCCAAATCATGTACCTAAACAAAGCCTATATTTGAGCATTATACAATCGAAATGTTGTTGAAGGATTTGTGAAGGTTATTGAATACATTTCCTTGATTAGTAAAAAATACGAACTAAGCATTATATCATTACTATGTAATTGAAAAATTAAGGTAGAAAAATTTAGAAAGAATACACATTTATCTAAAGTTATTTTAGCAAACCTACTTTCAAAGCATATCACTAAGAGTAAGCAGATTTTTGATGTTTGAGATGAATGTAATCAAAGACCTATGAACCTACAAAAGTACAATTATCACTAAATATATGCCCTTTAGAAAAATTACTGGATACCCAATGAAAAGAAAATAACACAGCCTCATTAAAACATAGCCATTGGGCAGTTTGACACATACTCAACAGCTACTCAAAATTTTGCCTAAAAAATTATGAACTACTTCATTGTGGACTTTGTAGTTTGTTAACAGTCAAAACTATAACATTAAATTATTGAACATCAAGGGCCTACTCTGAAAGTCTGAGAAAAGAATAAACAAATAAAAAATTAAATAAATCTTCTAAGCATAATATCAAAATGGGATTTGTCACCTAAAAACAGCATTTCTTCAGGATATTCCCCCAAAGAGAAATAAAACCTGTACACAAATGTTAACAAGAGTACATGTAAATCTTTCTAAATGTAGAATATAAATGTAGATGTAGAATATAAAAACACAATAACTAAGAAAATACCATGAAGGCTATGTTAACCAGTTTGGTGAAAATATTTCAAATTGTATATAAAACCAGCACACTGTACCCCATGACTGCATTAATGTATACAGCTATGACTTAATAAAAATAAATAAATCAAACAAAAGCAAAAAAAAAATGTTTATGGCAACTCTATTCATAATCACCAAAAACTAGAAACAACACAAATGTCTTTCAACCAGTGAATCAATAAACAAATTGCCTTATATTCATACAACCATATTCCATCAAATAAAAAGTAACAAACTATTAGTACACCAAAAAACTTGGATAAATCTCAAACTTATTCCATAGTCTGCCGTGTATAATGCACGCTTTGGCCCATGCTTTAAGTAAAAAATAAGGATGCATACCATATATATATGGTATGAAAGACTTCCCTTCACCCCAAAAGTTTGGGGTAAAAACATGGGTGTACATTATACACGGGAGCACATTATAAAAGCAAAATATGGTATGTTGAGTATAAGAAATCAGCCTTAAAAGTTACCTACTTTATAATTCCACTCTTGTGACAATCTCAAAAAGACAAAGACACAATGATGGAAAAAAGATGAGAGGTTGCCAGATTAGAGGTAGAGGGTGAGTGTGATCATAAAGAGAGGAATTTGGGGAGGTGATAAAACTGTTCTATATTATGACTGTCATGGTGGTTACATGAATCTATATATGTATTAAAATTTATAGAACTGTCTATGAGAAAAGGCCAATTTTACTGTATAATAATTTTTTAAGTAATCAGCATTTGCAGAAAATGTACTAATTTTACTTACTCCTTCAGAGAAGTATGACAATGTCGTATACCACCCATTATTTTTAAAATGTGTTCAACAGTATTTGCTAACAGTGATGACAAAAGTCAACAAATCAAGTGAGTTAAAATCTTTAAAACCTCTTCTAACTTCTTAATCAAAAAAGGACTTACCAAGTTCATTGAGACTCTGAGCAGCTTTTGTTATCTCTCTACTTCCTCCTTGCAGTTGTCCTTGGAGTCTCTTACTGAGATACAAAATGCGGATAATTCTTCGAAGCAAATCACAGGCAACCTGTGCAAATATCACATTAAATTAAGTATAGCCAATGAAGTGGTTTTTCATTTCTACATTTTTTTTTTTACAGACAGGGTCTTACTTTGTTGTCCAGGCTGGAATGCAATGGTGCAATCAAAGGTCACTGGAGCCTCAAACTCTGGAGGTGATCCTCCCATCTTGGCTGCCCAAAGTGCTGAGGTTAAAGGCTCAGCTGCCATGCCCAGTCCCATGAAATTTTATTTCTCTTACTGTTAATATACAAATCTATTCATTCTTTCCAGATGCTAAAGACTTAACTCATGGGTTTTTTTGTTTCCCACCAATCAGAAACCTAAATAATCACAAGTCTTAAAAAGCATCAAATTTCTTAGGGAACACAGAGAAACACCACATTTACCTTTTACAACAAATTCTAATTTGTCCCAAATGGAGAGAACTTGGGATTGAGTCACTGTGAAACTTAAGGACTTTTCTCAGACCAGAACCAGTTTTCTTCTCTAGGCCAGTGGTTCTCAGACATAACTGTGCATTAAATTCAAGTGGTAATGTTTAAAATGTTCCAGTGCCCAGGTCATAGCCCTGACCCAGTAAATCAGAATCTCTAAGGGTGGGGACAAAGCATCAGTATTTTTCTTTAATATTCCCAGGTGGTGACAATATATAGCCAAGAATGGCAGCCACTGGCCTAGGCTATCCAGAATCCACCGTCCTTTCCAATCCTGATAGGAATAGTCTTAAAACTTCTCCCAACTTCATTAGTCCTTGAAGAATAAGCTCATCTGACTTGAGTTTCCTGGTGGTTTTTATCACTACTAAATTATTTGAAAGCCACTGTGCTAGGTTGCTTAGCTTCCTACTAGTGCCTCCTGTCCTTCTGAATCCTGGGGGACTAGTCTTAAAATTTCTCCCAATTTCATCAGTCCTTCAAGAATAAACATATCTGGCTTGGTGCCTATAGCTCAGCAGCTAGGGCACCAGCCATATACACACTGGAGCTGGAGGGTTCGAACCAGCTCGGGCCTGCCAAACAACAGTGACAACTACAACAATAACAAAAAATAGCTGGGCACTGCAGCAGGTGCCTATAGTCACAGCTACTTGGGAGGCTGAGGCAAGAGAATTGCATAAGCCCAAGAGTTTGAGTTTGCTGTGAGCTGTGACGCCATGACACTCTACCAGGGCAACATAGTAAGACTCTGTCTCAAATAAAAAATAAGCATATCTAACTTGAGTTTCCTGATGGTTTTTAGTCACTGAAAAATTATAAAAGAAAAAGTTAAAAAAAAATTTTTTTAAAGTGTTTCACATATTTTCATGTCATAGGATAAACAATTTTCTTGACCAGATCTAATACTGGATTTTAACCTATCCAAAGGCTGAGATAAGAAATAAAAATTCACAGATTTCAGGACACTTTGTTACAGAAGCTGAATTCATGACAATCACCTGAAGAGAATTAGGTGGAGACTCATATGTAGTGGATAGCCAGCCTCAGTAGTAATAACAAAGGAGAGAGACAGTCTTTGCTCTTGAATTACCACCATCTTTGAATGGTCCTGAGGCTAGGTGAGAAGCAAGGACATCTCCCTTGTCTAAGGAGAAAATTTGTAAATTATGGCAATAAGAATGAAAAATTCTGGAAGACAGGGTCTCTAAGCCTCCAGCTATAAACATTCTGTTGTGGGTAAAACACATACACACACATACATACACACAGTCACATCCATGGACAACAGGCATGCATATACCATAATGTACGCACACACAAACATGAAGAATCGAACATACAAAGTTTAGCCACACATATAAGTCAAAGACAATCGTTAAACATTAAACGTTTACCTGGCTGCTTTTTGGAGAAATTATCTAGCCTGAAGTACTTAAAATAATAAAATGCCAAAAAAAGAATTTCCCCCAGCAACTGAAGCCTTGGGCATCTTTATCTTTTAATTAAATGTTATTTGTTTTCTGAATAGATAATAAATTCAAAAGATACAAAGAATAACATTGAAAAGTCACCGTCAAATCTCTATATCCCAATTATGTACTTAACAAAACCAACCAACATTATCATTTTCCTTCTTTTAAGAATTGGTATTTTCCAATGAACAATTTCGAATATAGAATCCCTAGCAACCACTCCTCTGAGATTCTAAATATCTTAAGAAGTATCTTAAGAAGTATCTTAAGAAGTATCAGATCTTACTCTAGCATCATCACCTGGAATTATCCTTCCAGAATCCCCAACCCACGCAATGGTATGCCCTCAAAACCTGAAGTCTTTGACTTTACTTCTAATATTTTTATTTTTAATAACCATACTTAATCACCAAGTATTAATGACTATCATACTAACATAAACAGCAGCTTCTGTTTTACCTGTATTCCTATAAGCACCACCCTAATCCAAATCTTTATGACCTTCACCTTAACACAGTGGTTTCCTGGCTGGCCTTCCAGTCCCTCACTGAAATCCACCCTTTCAGATTTATCTTCTTAGAAAAACAGTTTTCAGCACTCTAGCCTTCTTTTTAATAAACATCACTGCCTCTCTATTTAGGGATTATGTTCACATCTCTGAGAGTAGCACTTAATAAAATCTTCAGTCAACAAGTCTTAGCTCATTTAAAAGGTCTCAACTCTTACCATTTCTCAATATAGTTGTTTACTCTATAATCAGTTTTCTTTCCTTATGTTTTACTTTCTTTATTAATATAATACAAACAGAAAACCACATTCACCACAACTAACATTTTAGTGAATGGAGAAAAGATAAAAGCTTTTCCTCTAAAATCTGGACTAAGGCAAGGATGACCACTCCCACCACTCTTAATCAATATAGCACTAGAAATCCTAGTCAGAGCATTTAGGCAAGAGAAAGAAATAAAGGGAATCTAAATTGGAAAGGAAGAAATTAAATTGTTCCTATTTGCAGATGACATGATCATATACATAGAAAATCTAAAGATACTACCAAAAAACTGTTAGAACTGATAGATAAGTTCAATGAAGTTATAAGATACAAAATCAGCATAGAAAAGTGAGTAGCATTTCTATATACTAACAAGGACCTAGCTGAAAAAGAAATTAAGAAGGCAGTCCCATTTATCATAGATATCCAAAAAATAAAATACCTAGGAAGAAATTTAACCAATGAGGTGAAAGACCTCTCAAGGAAAACTATAAAACACTGATGAAAGAAATGGAATAGAACACAAAAAATGGAAAGAAAACCCCATACACAAGGTTTAGAAGAATCAGTGTTGTTAAAATGACCATACTACCCATAACAATCTACAGATTCAACACAATCCCTATCAAAATGCCAATGATAATTCTTCACAGAAACAGAAAAAAAATCCTTAAATTTGTAGGAAACTACAAAAGACCTCAAATAGCCAAAGTAACCCTAAGCAAAAAGAACAAAGTTGGAGGAATCACACTCCTAGAAAACTCAAAATATACTATAAAGTTATAGTAATCAAAATATCTGGGTAGTGACATAACAACAGACACATAAACCAATGGAACAAAACCAAGAACCAAGAAATCCATCCACATACATCTACGTACCTACAGCCATCTGATTTCCAACTAAAGCACTAAGATACTCAAAAGATAAATGATGCTGGGAAAACTAAACATCCAAACGCAGAATGAAGCTAGTTCCCTGCCTCCCACCCTATTAAAAAATCAACTAAAATGGATCAAAGACCTAAATGGAATAAAATAATACACCTAAAATAAAGACCTAAAATAAAATAAAATATACCCATCTATAAAACTACTAAAAGAAAACACAGGGGAAATGCTTCAAGACAATGGCCTGGAAACAGATTTTATGAATAAGACCTCAAAACAATGGGCAACCAAAGCATAAATAAACAAATGGGATTGTATCAAACTGAAAAGTTCTTGCACAGCAAAGGAAACAATCAACAAACTGAAAAGACAACCTACAGAATAAGAAAAAGTATCTGCAAACTACTCATCAGAGAATTTATATCTACACTATATAAGGAACCAACATATCTTGACACCAAGCAAACAATCCAATTAAAAAATGGACAAATGGGCTGTCACAGTAGCTCATGCCTGTAACTCTGGGAGGCTGAGATGAATGGATCACCTGAGCTCAGGAGTTCCAGACCATCCTGAGCAAGAGTGAGACCCCAAGTCTACTAAAAATAGAAAAACTAGCCAGGCATTATGTTGGACACCTGAAGTCCCAGCTACTCAGGAGGCTGAGGCAGAAGGATCACTGGAGCCCAGGAGTTTGAGGTTGAAGTGAGCTATGACACCACAACTCTTTACCCAGGGTGACAGAGTAAGACTCTGTCTTGAGGCTCGGCGCCTATGGCTCAACCGGCTAAGGCGCCAGCCACGTACACCTAAGGTGGCGGGTTCGAATCCCCAGCCCAGACC